AGAACCTCTATGATGCTCGAACAAAACTCGACCTCCATGGTTTCAACTGCTGAGTGATCAATCGCTTGCAAAAACGCAAAAACTTCCTAAGCTTGGCTTTGCGACTCAGGATCTCTTGCGTGGTTATGAAACATGAGTTGAGGTGGAACCCACCACCGGCATCTGCGCATGGTGGGCACAGTAGCAGCAATTCCGGAGTACCCAGTCCTGAAGTTCGGAGCCCGTGAGATCCCAACCTTGCTTGATGTCGATGGCCAATCCACGATAGCCCAACATTTCAACCTGTGGCGTGAGACGAGGCGGTGAAAACACTTCAGCTATAAGGTATTTCTTGCCCAATGGCTTGCTATCGCTTTACCTGTGCCTTCAGTGACCTGAGTTGTTTCCTGGTGATGCCGCCTGCTTTGCGCCTCTTGTGAAGTCGGCTGACTTCCTGGCTTAACCCCTTCAGCTTCACTATGGGACGGACTACTGAGTGGTCATGGGGTCCTAACTGACATTTACCCTGGCCTTCAGATGGTGCCACTTGGTTGGACGACGGCTGCTCATGCGACTCGTGCTCGGAAACGACGGCTGAGGAAAATTCAGCACATTCACCGCGTACTGTCCAGCAGCTCATCTGCAAACATGGTCAGGGAATCACGTCCAAAGCACAGAGTGGCCTGCATCGTTTTCATGGCAGGTCGGGAGATCAGCAAAGGTGAATCCCCCTGAACCACTGCTGCATTGATTGTTCCATGACAACCTCCAATCCCAACCGGCAGCGCCAAACTCACTTCCGACACCTCTCAGTCCCCATTGCCAAACTTGAATAAGACATTGACTCCTCGCTTTGGCACAAGATGGGATGTCCATCTTCGTCCAAATGTCCTTGAACTTATCCAGCGCAGGAGCACCAATGGATGGTGCGGCCGCATCCACTGTCCAGGGTTCCACAGCTGGTGACAACACCAGGAAAACTTCTTGGGAAAATGCATGACAGCGCTCAGATTCATACGCTTGCAGTCGCTGAATCATGGTGGGCTCATTGCACACCGCTGCCACAAAGCGCAGTTCTGACAACTCAGCTGGCACTGTCTCCAACCGGTTAATCTCAGTCCCAGGCAGGGACTCAAAAGTCTTTGCTACATAGCTGGCTCCACGTTCTTTGCCTTTGAAGCCTGCTGACTTGGCTGCGGCAGGATTGGACGATGTGGGATAACGAGGCTGGCGACATTCTCTAGCCCAGTGTCCAGTTCTGCCGCATCAATTGCATTTGGTTCTCTTCTTGAGTTCCTCCACCTTGATTCTGAACGACCTCTTGGCTTCCTTGGCTTCAGTGAAACGACGAGATCGCTGCAGTTTGGATAGTTCAGCTCGTTTCTCCTTCCAGGCAGTTGCAAGAATCTCAGCAACCTCCATCTCCGGATTTGAGTCAACACCATCGGCATTGACATTAGAGTCCTCCATGTTATACTCAGTGATGAAGGCTTCCACATCGGCAAAGCCCTCAGTTTGAAATCTCCAAGAGCACGACCCTTGACCACAGCTTGTTGATCGTCAGACAAACCTGACCACTTCAAAACCATGTAGCCACCTGCTTCCTCAGGGATTTTGCAACCTGACTCTGTTCACACTTTTCAAGCAGTTCAGTTGCTCTGGAAATCCACTGTCTCAAGCTCTCACCATCCAACACTTCTGCCAATTCATCGCTAGAATCCTTCTCAGGAAAGCGTTCGTCCAGAATCTTGAAGATTGCTCGCTCCCCATCAGCACACTGATACAGCGTAGGGTCTAGATGTTCTACTGACTCCAGTGCCTTGCCGGTCAGCAAGGTGAAAACAAAAGCTCCCTTGGCCTCCGCTGGAAATTTATCCAACGTCAAGAGCTTGTTGCCAACCCACAGTTTCCATCGTTCGTGTTCTTTGCCATCCTCACTCTCACCGCTAAAATAGCGCAAACCTCCACTCAGTTCCGCAGTGGATCCAGACGTCGACTGCGAGGACATAGACAGGTGTTGCGCTCGTGAGCTCTCCTGAACTCTGAGGCTTTTCTCACACGCCGGATCGGAGTCCGGCTCCGCTACCAATATTGATAGCGAACCAGGAATGAGGCTTCCAAGCCTCCGCTACAACTTCTCCTCCCGAGGAGCCTGTGAAGCACTCCAATGCGTTTTCACCACGTCGTCATCGCATCGAAGGTCTCCTATGATGTCCTTGACTCCCATGAGTGTGGATGGCTATGTGCAGCGGCTGGCGGCTGACAAAAGAGAAATGATGCAAGCGGAGCATGACAAGTGTTGTGGCATCAACATATATATATATATATATGAATTATGTATGTGTATATATATATGTATATGTGTATAATATATACATATGTATATATATATATATTGTGCGTGTGTATACATACATATATATATATATTGCGTGTGTATATATATATGTGTGTGTGTGTTATTTATTCATGTATTTATTCATGCATTTATGCATTTATGCATTCATGCATTCATGCATTC